TGACGCCTGGCGCTACAAGATTCGCGAGGACGACCTCCTGAAGATTGAAAGCGAGCCAATCTGCGCGCGCACCATCGAGAGCATGGGCCACGTGCTCTTCGGCTCCATCCAGAGGGCCAACGACTCGTCCGTCCCGCTCTTCGTGCAGTGAGGCTCGGCTCTGTGTCGGTGGTCTTCCGCGGAGAGAAAGCGCGTGGGTTGTGGTCCTAGTGGCTCGTTAAAGTGCTAAAGATGAAATGAAAGCGATAATAATGATAACTACGAACTAATAACAGCAAAATGGAACAATATGATACTACGACCACTGCTATTATTATGAAACTACTGCTATTTCTACCGTGATTGCTGTCAATCTGCATTCTCTACAAAGTTGGCTAGCTGACAGTGAGTGATGTACGGAGCAAAGGGATCGATCAATATCTGACCTCTGTAGTTGAGACGTGTAAAGCAATTAGAGAAGGCAAAGGGGTATGAAGGGAAGGAAGATTAACTTTGGAAGAATTCTTAAAAAAAAAATAAATAAATAAAATAAAATAAATAAATAGGAAGAAGCTGAAGAAGATACTTAAAGGTAAGAAGAAAGAAGCAATACCTGTGTTTACAGTGGCTCACTGCCTCTCAGCTGATTTTTGTAAACAAGCCAGTGGCCAGTACAAACGTGACTACATCGTAAATAAAGCGACACTGCTGAATTGCAACGAGCGAATTTTCAAAACATTCATTAGGTACTGAACGCATTTCTGTACCAATACATCTGAGAGTGTCCCAAAACATTTGCAACATTCATCGTAGCGACAAAAAAAAACAAAAAAAAACGCTTTCATGTACTCACTTCATCTTCATAAATAGATTCCAAAATTTGTATTTTTTGAGTGGAAGGGTTGATTAGTGTAGAGGAGCAACGTACACCGAAGACTTAGTATCAGACCAATAGGACTGATTTTGAGAACGTAGACCTTTTCCGAAGCGCCGTTGCCAGTCCATTGCATGTCACTGTCCTGTTGTAAATTACCAGTCTTGAATCAGAGAAATCCTGACACTCCATGAGATTCAAACTTTCAATAAAAGTAAATAACTTCCGTCCTTATGGTCATATTTCTCTTCTTTTTTTTTAATTTAAAGATTGGCAAAATTTGACAAAATATTATAAAGTGTAGGATAACTATAAGGGACCTCGTGAAGCTAAAATTATATTTTGTTGTTTTCTTATATGTTTATTTTTTTACGCCATCATGTATTTTTGAGATGCTTATGAAATTCTTTTGTGTAGTTCTGAAGTTATGTCTTGAAGACATCACTTCATTGTTATATGATCGAACAAACGCACGCACGCGCGCGCACACACACACACACACACACACACACACACACACACACACACACACACACACACACACACACACACACACACTCCTACACGCACACACATTCAGACTAGGTTTTTTTTTTTTTCTTTTTTTTTTTTTCTTTTTTGCAAAGACAGTTGTTACTTTCATCTGGTTTGTAAACATCATGCAGAGGTCGTAGTAGATAACTAAATGCACTTATTGGTAAAAACTTACCATAGTGCACACATCGTTAAAAAGAAAAATGATATTCTATGATACTGTTCTGGTTTGTTGTAGTTGCCTTGCCAGAATATGCAAGTCATTCGATCTTATGTCTTTTCATAATGATAATTACTTAAGAGTTACTGTGATTTGACTTGTAATATTTAGCATATGGCAACTTAATTTCCTTTTTTTTCTTTCTAAACAATTTGTTTAATGAAAAATGTCTACAAGTGGTTTTATTTACTTTGAACTATGTGTTGTGACTCCCTTCTTCGGGTTTGAAGGAGAGAGTCGTGTCAACGTAAGATTAAGATCACTTTGGTGGCTAGTACCAGTATAAATATAATGTTCAGTGTAAACTTTCATCGTATTTTGTATATATATATATATATTGTTTGTTTATGTTGTATGTAAAACTACACTTTTTATTTATGCTTTATGTAATATTGTCATAAGTAAAATGTTTTTTTTGTAAATTAAGTCTTAGTACTGTCCGTATCCAGCGTTCGACATTTTTTTTTTTTCTGGGTAAATATTTGAAAAAGTAATTTAAGGATGCGTTCTGTTAAGAAAAGTGAGTAATGCAGTTTTTTTTTTCTCTCTCTCTCTTTCTATCTCTCTCTCGCTTTTCCTGTGATGGGAAGGAAAATGAATACGTGGAAGAAATAAAAATCTATAACAGGCAAAAAGAAAAGAAAAAAGAAAAGGAATGAAAGCTTTTTGAGGAAATATATGATATTTAATAATCAAATAATCCTCTCTTGAAACTATATGCAGAACATACGAACCACTGTATGTCATACACAAATTATATACATGTAAAAATGTCAATAATAACTTCCAGGAAAAAAAACAACTTACATATATATACGCAGAATATAAGGTCTTTCTTGTAGCATCACGAAATCCTAAACACTTCGATACATTGTTTTATGGTTCTGATTTTT